CGCCTGATCTATTTCCATCCCTAATTACATGTATAATAATATAATCTGGCACAGTACATAGGTTTTTAGCTGCAGATTTACCAATTAGAAGTCTGGCAAAACAGCAAGGATGCCAAGTGGAGCAACACACTGGTGGTATGAGTATGGACATCCAGTTGCGCATGAAGGGATAGAAGTCATTTGCCCTTACTGTCATGAAGCTTCGTGCAAGATCTTGATTAGAGGCATGAGTTTCAACTGTACGATGCTCCTGACGAGTTTCTCCGCATGCCTGATCTTTTTTATGCCACGCATGCCTTTATGGCTCAGAGAGTTTCTGAACCAAGATTTGGGACTTGTGGGTGCTTTTGACAATTTCATGAGGCAGAGAATAGCTGGGCAATTCCCCAACATTGGTCTTAGACAAGGGTCTGATACTGCCTGTTTCCCAAATGGGGTTAGGATTTTTTCAATTTTGGCCCTTCGTTCATGTTTCATGGTAGTGGAGGGGAACCTAGGCCTATTGATTTTGGTGGTTTATTGATAGCCCCTGGACTGGAAGCATTTATTCACCAGCTCACCATGAATGATCATAGAGGTCTTCCTCCAGCCTCACATTCTTTAATTGATGCAATGGCTACCATTAAGATCATGCAAGCCCATCTTCGCTCTGATTCACACTATCCGCTTTGTCAAGAAAAATTCGAGCTAGGCTCTGAGGCTAGGCAAATGTCTTGTAACCATATTTATCACTCTGACTGTATTGTTCCTTCGTTGCTTCAGCATAACTCTTGTCTCGTTTGCCTCGTTGAGTTGCCACCTCTAGGACTGGGTAGTTCCTGTGGTGGAAGTCAGAATGTTTGTAGCAGCTGTACCCATTATAGATAAAGGAGACAGAACCAAGGAAGGAGAAATATATTATATCATCTTGGTGGCCATTCTGATCTTCCAGTTGAAACGCTAGTCATTATGCTCAGACCAGTGTGTAAGCAGCTCTTCTACTAGTGATGACCAGAATAATAGGACGGGCTATAGAGTATGGCCATTTGATGACCAGTGCTTCAGGATAAGTAGAGTCTGGCTGTCTAATAATGTTCTTAAAGAATAATATGGAAAATGACTTAAAATACTAGTCCCCCCAGTATCGATGATGTTGAAACATCTACATGTGCGTGTGTGTATCAAATTAATTAAAATATACATGTGTGTGTATGTGTGATAATTGAGTGAAACAATTAAATATTAAATTTAGTGGATTGCTGCAGTTGATGTAGATTTTAATGAAGGAGAACTTGAGTTTATAATCCCTTCCTTTTAATTTCCTGATTGGTTGGTGGAGGATTGTAAAGTTGGTCTCCTTCAATGTTTATCCAACTCCTAATATTCCCATAACTGTTATGTCCTTTTTTCAGGTCATAAAAATAAAAAAAATTGGGACGTTCCAAAATCTACTCATATTGTGAAGTGTAATTTTAAGATCCAGAAATATATGTAGATGTAGGAGCTGCTTCTTTTCAAGAAATAAAATTTTATCAACAAATGACGAACACAAATGGGCATTTATTGTCCCGCATCATTTGAATTGGATAATCTTTGTTAGCAACATTTAAGAGGAAATAAAAGCTACTACCTCCAGTCCTAATTATAAAATTTTGTTTATAGACTACAGACAAAGTCTTATAATTAAGATCAGAGGTAGTATAATTCACATCAAACTTAGGGTCACTTGTCAATATTCCAAGAGTCCACAATTGAAATGTGGGTGGGAGGTGCTAAAGAAGAGATGCAAGAGTGGGGCAATCCCACCATTGACTTCAACAAGTTAACACAAGCAGAGGTTGGTGCTTCACTACTTGTGATATTAATTTTAATTAATCTTTCTCAAGCATTTGATAACTGGGTTTTTAGCTTGTGATGAATATTAATTTGATACATGGAATAGTATCAGAGATGTTTCTCATGTTCATTTCATTTTCTTCAGTTCAGTCATTGTGATAACTCTGTTGTTTTTTAATTGTAATTTCATACTCTGTAATTTGTGATGTTATGTTATTGTGATAACCATTTTTATAACTCTGGCCGTGTTTTTCCTTTGCTGGTTCAGCATAACTCTTGTCCTAACCTGCCACCTCTAAGACAGGGTAGTTTCCATGGTAAAACTCGTGGAGGAAGGAATGTCATCAGTAGCAGTAACCGAGGGTTGAAGGAGACAGAACCAAGGAAGGAGAGATCCATTATTATTAGCTTGGTGGCCAATCTAATCTTCCAGTTGAAACATTATGAGTAGAATAGTAGGAGGGATTATAGAGGATTGTCATTTGATCACCGACGCTTTAGGATAAAGTATAGTCTGCCTATCTAATAATGTTATTGATGATTGATATGGAAAATGAGTGGAAACACTTGTGTTTTTTAGCTTTTTAGTATGGATATTGTTCATATATATGAAATTAATTAAGATATATATGTCAAAGCTGAGTGAAACGAATTAGATACTATACTCAATGGATTGTCGTAGTTGATGCAAATTTGACGAGGAGAACTTGAGTTTATTATTACTACCTCTGGTTCTTAATATAAGACTTCGTTTGAGTTTTATTTTAATCCTAAATATAAGACTCCAATTCCCTTTGTCTCTCATATTTATGCATTTTTTTCCAAGATAGTTCTTCTAATAATAATAGTTCTAGTTAATAATACACTTGATTAACAAAGATATTTTAGAAAATATAACATCTATTATTACAAATAACTAACGTAACTTATTTTCTTAATTTTCTCAAATTAGTTAACTAGCTCTTATAATTAGAACCGAAAGTAGTATTGTTCCCTTCATTATGTTGATGATTAGCACTCTTTTTAATTCTTGTCATTATGAATTGGCTCCACTGAACTAGCTAGTGTACATATGCAAATGGAATCTATATTTTTGTTGGACATAATTATGATATAATTTTAAAATGCCTTTCACTTTTCTTACAAATCTTACTTAAGTAATTAATCTTTCATTTTTTTGGTTTTTTTTTTGTTGTTCAGATGAAATTTAAGCAATATATATTAATTCTAAGAACAGTTCAATCTCTTATTTGAATTGGTTAAGGAATTTACTTTTGGATAAATTAATCTAACATTTTTTAGATTTTTTTCTCTATTTAGATGTGGTAAGTTCTTTGTTAACGTTTCTAAACAAAATATTAATTAACTAGTGCTTCTATTTTATTCATTTTATTATTATCATTATTATTATTATATACATACATACATATATATATATATATATATATAAAGTTGTCCAAGTAAACATGTGTGTAAACATATGTATCTGCAAAAGTGTTGAAATCTCTTCAAGGAAAATTGAAATCAATTGTTGGGTTAAGATACATTCAGCATCATAAAATTTTTATTCAACAACTTAAATTATTTTTTCAGTATCACTGATAATCTTAATTTTTTAGTGATATTTAGTGTGTTGTACATCTTAAAATATTTTGAACGTTGTTGAAAAAAATATTTTGTTAGATACATTTTAACCCTTAATTATTTTGAAAAATTTCCTCTGCCTACTAAGTATGTCTAGAATTCTCTTGGTTAATTACTGTACCTACAAATTGTTTATTCTTTTGGTTGTTTGCAAGAAATTTAGGCAATATATCGAATTACATAAATATTTTAGAATGTGAAATTGAAAATCATCTTTTCAACAATTAATTTATAAATGATTTTGAGGTCAAAAGTCCTCATCTTGGTCAAGAATGATTGAGATGGCACCACTCTTTTATGTCTTCTTTACATATCACACTCCACCCACCTCCCTTTCTTTCAGTATGATAAAAAATAGAATTTTATTTACAATACATTTCCTATTATGTTATATACACAATAAACAAATACAATAAGTAATCAATAGGTGAGCCAATTAATTACCCAAAGTAAACTAAATGGCTTCCACCAATTTTCTGTGAGTGCATGCATACACACATAAATATATTTATACATTCTTATTGTAATTTGATTTCATCATAAAAATATAATTCGTGCAAAACATATGTTTATATTTGTCTAACTATGAACTACTTGTCTCTTCTTCTTGAATTGTTTATTATTTATTTGTTCTTTTCTTCTTCTGAGATAAACATATCCATATAATAGATTTTTTTTTTTGGGGTTTTAGTATCAACACATAACTAAATTTACGAACAAATTGCTCACACACATTAAGGCATGTCTTTTTATTTCACTTTATTTTTAAATGCTCTGTTTCTTTGCAAGTGATACATCAACACATTATATACCAAAAGATTCTATTGCCATTGGATATCATCAATATTAAATCAATTTATCTAATTTGTTTAGCCAAGTTGTATAGTTTTATATACTGACCCAGACTTGTAATTATGCATGGAACTTGGATCTCTTTCAAAATTGGAAACAGGGGAGGGTGCTTTCAACCAATTGACGGCTACCAAGATTCACTCTGTTTCACAACTCTGGTTCTTTTTATTTACTGGTTCTTTTTATTGTCCTTTTTTTCTAGTTCATTATGGTAAGTAATATGATTATGTTATTGACACCTGTGTTTGCATCCCCGCAAGTATATGAGAGGAATGATTCATGTCACTTACAATTTACTGTTCTTATGAAATCCACTGCTACATCATCCCATAAAGCGTATGGAACTTGACTTGTTCTTTTTTAATTTATAGAGAAAATGATTTTCTTCGCTGGTGAATTATCACTTTCGGTTTGTGTTGACGAAAATAACAAAAGATTTAAATTTTACCGAAATGCAATGGTATTTCACTTCATTAAACGCCTTTATTCATGTTAACAAGTGCTCAGTTTTCATTTATGACAAGGTAATTAATTAAATTCTGTTTCTCTCTGAAAACCTCATCAAATGGCAAAAATTTTTGAAACAAAGACAAATATCTGGAGTGACAACTATTATATTAGAACGGAAGGAGTAGGAAGACGATGAGTCATTGTTACCTATTCTCGTCCATTTTTCTCTGGTTCTTGAATCAGCCAGTCAAATGCTCCTCCCCCAAAAAGAAGTCTACAAGTGCTCTCAGCGGAAGCTTGACCTCATCAGAAGAAGCAAGCTGGGGTTGGGTGGCTTGGTTGAAGAAACCATTGGGATGGCACCAATCTTGTATCTCTTCTTTACAAATCACTCTCCACCCACATTCCTTTACTTCCCAATCGCAATCCCAACCTTCAGCGTAAGCAGAAAATAGAATGCGAGGGAATTGCTATGATGAGCTCTTAGGTGCCGCCAACATGTTTATGCACTGCTTTTCGGAAAAGGAGAAAGGAATATCACACTCCCACTCTTCAAGTATATAATCATCATCACCTTCTGCAGCTTTACCACTCCAACCAACGTCCCAAAAACCATCACCGTAACCTGACATACGGAAGCACACAACAATTCCGCACCATTCACTGTCACGAAAATATGGAGGCATGTCCACCTCAATCTCATATTTCCTTCCCAACATATCCAAATGGCAATCTTCTTTATTTGGAAAACATGATGGCATTTCACATCCTGGAAGACTTGCGCAGAAATCTCTCAGCTGGGGAGGCCATTTAGCTCCCTGCAAACATATCAAACAATATGTTATTAACATTAATTACCCATGAAGGGAGCATGTGTGAGAAAAAAACACAGAAATAAGACACTCATACCTTGTATAGCACAGAAGGAACATATTCCTCCCCATCTTCATCCCAATCATCATCGACTTGACATCTAGTTCGCCCACGACGCTGAAATAAAAAATTAATCATGTTATGTAATTGCAGTTTTAAGGGGAAAAAATACGCATTAGAGGTTGTCGGAAGAGAAACGCATACCTCATGGTCAAGTGAAGCAACCAAATTCCATAACTGTCCATCTGATGATAATGGTTCCATTAAATCACAGCCAGAGGCATGTAATCGAATTAATCGTGGTGGGAGCCTTGGCAATGACTTAAGCCTTTTGCAGTGATTCAATGAAAGGAAGACAAGTCGAGAAAGACCAGAGAAGCAACCAATGGGTAGATTCTCAAAATCATTACCGCTTAGATCCAATACAATGAGCGATGATAAACTGTCAAAATCAGGAATCGATCCATCATCTAAGCCACACCCGCTTAAGTATAACTCCGTTAATGACATTACATTCAAGCCGGAAATTTGGTGACTTATGTGAGTCTTCAACGACTTGTCAAGATTTTCAATTTTACAGCCACTCAAATTTAAATATTCAAGACCCGTCAAGGATCCAACTGATTCAGGAAGTCTAGTTATAGAAGTAGCACCCACATCAAGATATGATAGTTTTTCCATACCTTTCCCAAACTCTGGGAGCTTTGCAACTTTTTTACACCCCCTAAGGTTTAACTTCACCAAAGAATTTGTTTCCAATCTTTTTGGTAGGATTTCAAGGTTTGCACAATGATTCAAGTCCACCTCAACAAGCTTTCCCAACTGTCCAAGGGAGGGATGAACCTTGACAAGAGATGTGCATCCACCAAGATGTAAATGTTCTAAATTTGGAGCACCTGAGAAGTCTGGACTTTCGGTCAAATTGAGAGACTTTTCCAATACGATAGATTTCAACTTTGTCATACGTTAGAATCAAACAAAAGATGGTAGAGTCAGTCTAACTAAGCAGTATATCAATAAAACATGAACACAAAGATATAATTTTAAGAAAAACAATCATGCATGAAGCATCAATCTTACCTGTTTGTTGTTCCAAAGTTGTTTTATTTTGCTAAATGACATATCCATTTCAACAAGTCCATTCAGTTGAGTTTCAAGTGGAAGAGCTTTCAAAGGAGAAAATGGCCAAACAACAACTTTTAATGCACCAGCCAAAAATTTCCATTCACTAGGGAAGATGAACGGATTGTTATATGCCGTACATAAGAAGAGCCTAAGGTTACTCATCTTTGAAAAAGCTTCAGGATGTAATTCAATTTTATCGTGCTCGTACCGAAACCAACCTTGCATAGAAATAGCTTCTATTGCCTCAGATCCCTAATAAAAATGTCATTTGCAAGAAAAATAACATGAGAATGATAAGAAAATAAAGAACATTAAAAACATCAAATGTATGTCAAGAAAATGAGATATTTAGAAAATATGGCACTTACCTTGTTATTTCCCAATACTTCCTTAATTTCCTCAAACTCCCACAACCTGCTACGCTTGCCAACATTCTTGGGAGATTCTTGCTTAACTATATTCCTACCCAAATCCTGAAGTAAATCATGCATCTCTAATGTGCCACCTTTCGTTTCAACTACTAAAGTTCTTTCAATCAAGACCTCTATTTCAATGATCGGGTTAAGACCACAAATTTTCAAAATTCGAATCACTTCTTTTTTCCGCCAACCCTTGAATAAACAAGCAATATCTAAAAATATTGCCTGTTGTTGCTCATCCAATCCATCATAACTTATTTTAAGCACTTGAGAAATATCCCTAGCAAGATAACTATTCTTCAATCCATCTAAAGTATCTTTCCGCTCCGCTTTTTTTCTTTCGTGAAGAAAAGAACCCAAAACTTCAAGTGCCAAAGGAAGACCACCTGCATGTTTAACTACACATGCAGATAACTTCAAATACTCCTCATCAGGAGGATGGCCTTTTCTGAATGCTTTGTTTGAAAAGAGTTGAAGAGATTCATCTTCTTCCATGGTTTTCATATCATATATTCTTGGTTTATCTCCTTCAAATAAGGTGAGCAAGTGTTTATCTCTCGTTGTAAAAATTATTCTGCTTCCTTCACCAAACCAATCTGGACTTTCAGCCAAATTTTTTAATTGTCTCTCATGATCTACATCATCAATGACTAGAAGAACCTTTTTATTGTGGAGACGCTTTCTTATCATCTTCATTCCTTCGTAATCATTAGGAATATTCACGGCTTTCTTTTCAAGATGAAAAAGAAGCTTTTGTTGCAAAGAGACCTTGCCTTCTTTCTCGAATGTTTCTCTAACATTATCAAGAAAGCAACACACTTCAGACTTGTGGGATAGTTTTTCAAAAACAACTCTAGCAAGAGTTGTTTTACCCAGCCCATACCCCATATCCCTACAAAATGTCTGTCATCCACCCCAATCTCCAAGCGAGACATCATATCACCTGCCCTTGACTCAATCCCAACCAGATTGTCAACATAAGATGGTAATTTAGGAATTATGCAAGTCCATACATTTATGACTATTTCTTCTATAAGATCTGCTTCACGCCTATAAAAAAAAAATACAAAATTGTTTAACATGAGTAATATAGTCATGATAAATTAAAATAATAATAAAAAATGTGACCTTTCACGTATATTGTTTACTAAAGCTACAATGCATTTTTTGATATAACAGGGAATTGTTGACGAAATAAGAATTGATCGTTCTGCTCATTAAAATTAGAAATGGGATCATTTTACCCAAAAGACAATCGAATTATTCATAATTTTGTTGTGTCTGTATTCATCAACTGATTAATCATCAATGCGCATTGTCATTCGGTTAATCCATTCGTCATTTAAAAATTTGATTTTTCTCTTAAGAGATCAAAATGAATTCCTTCCAATTTTCTGTTGTCACAATGGAAATAGCGCTCCTCACAGATTTAAATGATGTTGTTCACAAGTATAAAGGGACTTCTAATATAAAGTAAAAAAAAAATCTTCATAAAGAAAACTTAGCTTATCATTAGGAGAAGATAATTAAATAGTGGGCTGCAGGGGATTTCATTATACGGAATATATTTCTCATAAAAATAGCTGAAAGTTAGGGGAAATGCTTATAGAAATTTCAAATAAACAATAGAAAAAATTACACTGAGAAGGATGACTGATAATTATTGTTGGGTTTGATTAAATTTATAATTTTGAAGGACTGAAATGTTAGCCGCGTACTATTAGGGAGTTGGGTGCCTCATTTTGCTATAAATATTACAGGTGTTTGGGAAGGAAAAAAAAAAGAAAACAAATTGTATATTAGGTATGGAATAACACAATGGGGGTGTTCAACTCGTCTAGTCCCATCCTATAGCCTTTTTTAAAGAAATTAATTATTGTTAATTATTATTATATTATTCAAATCACTTATTAATAATAATTATTTTATGTACTGATTTTTACTTTTAACTTACAGTGTTATCTCAACAAAATCGTCCTCAATAAAATGATTCATAAAACCATTATGTAGTATTTCTTTTACAGTATTGACTATGTTTATAAAAGATTTTTAAAAGAAAAAAAAATTTGATTGGCATGTTGTTGATGAATAGATTTAAATTTCAGAGTGACAACTATAGGGGAAGGGATATGAAAGTGCCACCAGTTTTTATGACGATAAGAAAGTTGGTTAGTTTATTTTGTTCGTTCAATATAATTATAGTTTTTATGGTGCCTGAAAATAAATTTTGAACAAGGTCAAAGAAAAACAATATTCACTTAGATATAGGTTCTTCAACATAATTTTCTCAACCTCATACATGCAAGCTATAAAGGAATTATTATATATAATGTAAACTCATGTAAACGAATATTACTTACAATTAATACATTAAAAATTCATTAAAATTAACAGAATTAGTAATCCATACTTCAATGAACCAATTATACAACGTTTCTTGAAGTATAACATAATAAATATATTGGCAAAAGGCTTAAAGTACATATTTACTCCTTTTAGTTTATTTCAAGTTTCAGTTTAGTATTACAAGTTTAAAGTGTGTATTTTTGGTCCATTAAATTTAATAGTGTTAACCTTGTTAACATAAAATGTTAACAGTTTCAAAATGATGATTCAGCATTTAAATATTGACATATTAATTTTTAATTTAAAATATGTAAATTAAAAAATATTTATAATAAAACCCGATTAAAGATGCCATCAAACATAATTATTTCCTATGATCAAATTTTCTAACATAGTTCTATAAGATTTACTTTTAAATTTTCATAAAATTATTAATCTAAAAATATCTTAAATTACGACTTATTAATTTTTATGTAGCTTTTTAAATTATGATATTAGATTTATCATAAAATTTAACACTAATCTTTAAAATAATTATAACTTTTCAAATAATTTAAATTTTAAAATCAATGAGATAATTTTTTCCACGATAAAAAGTAAGGAAAAATTTTTTATTTCATAATTATAAAATTGCAAAATTATTAATAAAAATAAAGTTTTATTTTAAATATTTTAGATATTTTAAATTAAAAATTAATATGTCAGCATTTCAAAACTATGTTATTATTTTAAAATGATTGAGTTAATAGTTTCTATTAGTGTTAAGTTCAAAGGACTAAAATTTTTTTCTGCCAACCAAATGATTAAAATTAATTTTATTAAGGAGAGTAAAGTGAAACTTGATGTAAATTTAAGAAATTTGAGAAATCTATACTTTATTATTAATGGGAGATTATCATGCGCCTATAATGGATGCTACTTTCATGTTATCATCACCTCTGCCTAAAATGATTATACACGATTTAAACCAAAACGAATATGTGCCTCAAATAAATATAGAAAATATGATTAAACGATTGTAAAAGAAAACTTACCTGCCCCTGGTGTCCCAACCAGACAAGTTGGCAATTTCACACAATGCACTTCTCCAAGTCTGCACTTTCACATTGTCCTCCCTGAATCTGTTTTCATGTTCATCCATGGCTTCCCGACAGCGTTTTCGTTGGTGTCTTACATCGGTTGGATCAACATCATAGAATATGGGGAAAACCCGTTGATCTAATATTTTTAAAGCTTCAAGGATCTTTTGAAGTTCCTCTAAACACCACGTAGATTTTGCATAATTTTCAGAGATAACAATAACTGCACAGAGAGAATCCTCGATTGCTTGAAAGAGATCTTCTTTTATGACTTTCCCTCTCTCAAGATCTTTATCATCCTTAAATGTTTTGATGCCACTTCTTTCGAAAGCTTTATCTAAGTGATCCAGAAACTTCAAGCGAGTGTCTTTCCCTGTAAAACTCAAGAACACATCATATTTCCAATTAGGAGTTGAATTACGAGGATCAGAGCTGGAAGAAGATTCTCCTCCGGCAGTATGTGCCATAGCAGGGGTTCAGTCTTTTCATTTTGACCAAAGAGTAATAATCTGCAACAACATATAATCATATCAGGAAAACAAGAAAATGAATCAAAGGTATGAAATTAAAACGAGTGGGGTAAAATATATAGAAGTTTTTGTGCAGATCTATAAAACTCATTATGTAGAGATCCATACTGTTGAGAAAGTTGTTGAAGCAATCTCGCTTTCTTCTCCACACTCACTGCTATTATCTGAAGACGACGAACTGCAATAAAAGGAGAGATTTGGAGGACGAAAGAGCCAACCTTTTTCCTTTCTCTTTACCTAACTTGCTACTGCCATTGACTGCAAGGCAAAGACTGACTTTAGTAGCGTGGCTTCCATGACTTTTCCTTCTTATTTACGAGAATCATCTAGTTCCGTGTCCTCAGATCACGACAGCGAGTGTCCAAGTGCGCGTTAATTGATGAGCAAGGAATGCGGGATGAGCTTTAATTCTTTAATTCTTTTATTTTCACATACTAAGAAATATTATGAAGCTATATTTTCTG